ACCTGGGGCTGCGGTAGCCTCAAATGGAGGGTAGAGTGCTGATAACGTACTCTGAATGCAACCGTCCAGCGACTCCGAGTCCTGCCAAGAGAGAAAGCGTTAGCGGTACCACGGCACGATACACCCCAGTGCCCCGACGAGCCCTACACCCAGGAGCGCAGCCACCTCCAAACGCAGGAGGAGAAAGGATCAAATGAGCAAAGGGCTGTCCTTTCCAGTTTCTTTTGGCAACTGCAATTCTAGGTAAACAAAACACAACAAAAAAAATACCTCTCCCAAAACGCGAGCGGAGTGCTCACAGAGCGCTGCGCACAGCAGCGCGATTGCCCAGCTTTTGCTTACACAGCAAGTCCCTCTCCTGACTGCGCTGGGTGGGGCTGCTATTAAAGCATTACCGCAGCACGTGAGTGCGTGTGAGCGTGTCATGGGGTGCATGGATCCGCGGGCCCCACGTTTCGGACACCCGGGGCTGGAGGTGCCGGCCAGCCCTTGGGTACATTAAAGCCCAGCGTTACGCTCCTCAGGAGGCTAAGGGGAGTTTCGGTGGCAAAAGTTGTGCTGAAGCTCCTCAGCCCGCCGTGCTCAGAAGTCCCCATGCAGGATAAGCTGCCGGGGCTGTTCGGTACCAGGGAAAGCCGCTCACCAGCGCAATTCCTCATTATTCAGAGTTGTTTGCCTCTTATGAAAGGCTCACTCTGGGAGCCAGGAATTTTCCGTAGTGAGAGATGCCTCACAGCAGGCTCTGCAGACTGTGTGCGAGCAGGGTGGCCATTGGTGCTGGAGCACATGCTTCGATATGTAGGATAGCTGTCTCCTGCCCAGGGATCGGAGGCAATGGCTTCCCTCCTTCCACCTTCATTCAGTAGAGCGTGCCAGCCAGAGCCTGCCCGTGGTGTCAGCGCCAGTTCCAGTGCTGGAGGCCAAATTCTGATCTATTGCATGGGTGTAAATCAAGAGAGCTTGCCAAAAAGTAATTAAAAAAAAAATCTGTGCACATCTGCAGAGAGGATCAGGATCCCTCCTTTCCTTTCTATTTTAGAAGGGAGGGACCCCTCTGGCTAACTTAGAGCCAGTGGGAGTGAGTTTTGCTACAAAACCAACAGAAGGTTTACTCAGGTGTCTGGCCAGATCCTCATCTGATCTAAATTCACCTCCCTTCACTAGAGACAATTCAGCGGCTGGCCCAGAAGCCCTACAGCCTCCTGCAGAACAGGAACAGCTGCATGGACATGCCTGAAAACACACCTCAGTCCCACAGCAAGACTGGGAGAGGAAGTTAAACAAAGCAGTGCCACGACAGCTTACGCTGCCACCGGGGAACAGGAGCATGAAGGGATCAGGAAGAGGCAAACCATTTCGCTTCTTCCACTCCAAGGGAGCACACGTTCACCGCTCCGCATATCTCCACTGGCTTGAGAAAATGCAACAGTCTCAGAGGAAGCCTAAATCAACCTGCAGCCAGAGAAGAGAGGATGCTCCTCACACAAGCCATCCCATCACTCACAGCTATCCTGCTCAGCGATCTTCAAATCCCTCCTTTAGAGGGTTGGGTGTTTTAAGCACAGTATAAACTCCGTGCTCTGTTGTAAAGCCTTCCTGTAGAACAGCCTGTCGGATTGAGCAGGAGAGATGAGGACACCCTGGCAGTACCTCCACCGAGCTGGCAGAATGCAGGTGACAGGCAAACCACACACTGGACGTGGCACAGCACTGCTTCATCACTCTTCCTGTTGTTTCTCCTGGTGTCAGCAACAAGCAAGGCTAAATGGCATCAGGCTCCTCAAGTGTTTGCAACTCAGAGACCAGCTGCCTCCTGCAATACCCCTCAAGGTCAATGCAACCAGATAAACAGAGGTTAAGGAGCTATTTTTTCATATTCTTAACCCAAGGACTCAAAAAGCAGGAGACTTATGTGCACACTTCCAAGTGTGGAATGCCAGGACCTAGCATTTAGCCCTAATCCTAAATGGGAGGAAAAGGCTGTTTTCAAGAAGCTTCTTTCCACGGGCAAAAGAACAACTTAAAACCCTGACTTTTATTCCATTAATTGAACTGGAAAGCCTGGAAGTTCCCAGGCACTTCTTTCTGCAGGAACGGGTCACCAGAGAAAGTCTTCCACTAGAGATGGCAGACGTCAAGAGAAAACCACCGAGAGCTGACAGCCTCCACCCTCTGCTCAGTTCCGGTCAAGACCACCACCACGCAGGGTGCGAGGGCAGAACTCAGCAGCATTCAGGAAATGGAAGAAGAGAAAGCAGACTGACAGGAACCAGAGGATGAGTTGTACAGACCCAAGAAGACAGCCTAAATAAGAAACATTCCCTTTACAGGGTATCCTGGGCCTGCTAAAAAAGGCATGGAGGGAGATGTAGGATAGGGAAATGCGTACCAAGCCCAGCCTGAAGCCTCTCACAGTTAGGCATATTAATAACATTGTTAAACATTGACATAACACAGTAAACATTACGCGATTCCTCTCCCATGCTCTTGTGACATGACAGAGAGAGGCCAAGCTCAGGCAGCTGAAGGCGAGCGCAGCTCCGGTAACCTCTCTCCACACCAACCTCTCCCAGCAAGCGTCCGTGCCCTCGTCAGACAAAGCCGGCCTGGACACAGACGCTCTCCCGCCTGGCACCAGCCACCGCAGGGACCCCAGCCAAGGGCTTGGGCACCCTCATAGGAGCATTAATGATGGGAGCGTTTGCAAACAATTTCCATCTGACCTCCCACAGGTTCAAAATCTCAGTCAAAACCAGCTGGGGTGTGGGGGGGTGTGTAGTTCTGTGCTGCCTTCTGCCTCATACCTCTTCCCCTGCTTGAGCAAAGTTCTTTCAGATATCAATCTCCCCCCAAGTGAAATTGGTGAAGTTTACTATTGCAAACAAAAAGAAGTCAAAATATTTGCACATGAGTCAGTGCATCGCTCTAAGGTTCTCACACCATTCCT